TCCTTCACCATCTCGAGAAATTAGAATAAAGGACACGAGGAAGAATCTTTTTTTCCTTCTTTTACGAATTATTTGATCTCATTGATCGATGAAATACAACACATTTCTGCACTCAGGTAACGTGTGTGTGATTACCTATATATATATATATATATTCTCTTATAATCTCCATGGCACTGTGTTCCAGACTAATACAGATGTGAAGACGAGGTGCAACTCCAATTATATTTGAGCCAGGATTCAGGGTTTCTTCCCAGCAAGTAAGAGTGGGGTCCATCCTTTTTCCAGGACTCCATAAAGGGCCCCAGGCTCATAAGCCTATACGCGCCGTAGTCCACCGGCCTAAGGGTACAGCCTACGAACCATGGGCCCAGATTTGGGCCTCAACCATTGGCCCGCAAGGTTAGCTTAGTGAGTGGGGTCTACGGGCCTACGACCGACGAGCCCCCGAGAGTGTAGGCTTTGGGTCTGCATCCTCGGCCCAACAGATGGAGAGCAGACTATTCCGAGCAAGTGAGGACAAAGAAGGAAGAGAAGCAGTCTCCACCAACAAAGGGGAAACAGAGCCCCCACCGTCAATGAATGCCCGTGGCTTCAATTGACAGCTCCGAAGCAGAGCGGAGGCAGCGGTCCTGCAGGAGATACCACCTCGCGTGATGCCATTAAATGCTCTCCTTCTACGCCACTCTGCAATCATTACATGGGTGGATCCACCAAACAGTGTTGTCGAAGTACATGTGGCCCGAGGCTCCGTTCCACGCTCACTCTCGAAGTGCTCACCATCTGTTTGTTCTTGGATAGCTTGTGCTTCTCTGGCCTTCACCAAGGTGGAGTAATGCTGCTACTTTCTGCCAAGTTTAACCATCGTGGGCACCTTCAGTTTTTGCAGATGAGAGCTGCAATAGTAGAATCGAGAGCAATTCATTGATTCATTAAAAGTCTTTTGAGTGCAGGTGTCTGTCCTCTCTTGTGCAACAACTCCTGTGGAGTGTCTGCAGAATTTTCTACTGCCGGATTATTTTATGGATGAGGTTCCACTGTAGGGTGATCAACCATGAACAGGATTTGGTCTCTGGATTGCACCTAATCAAGTGAAACCTCACCTTAAGAATAAGCAATGATCCTCCACAGGAGAATGGGGAACTTTCTTCCTTCTTTTCTTGCATTTTAATGTCAATCTGTCACCTTAACAAACACTTGTTCGTCATCTCAAACCAGAAACAATTTAGCAAAAGATAGAAAGTGGAAAGGAAGAAAAGGATGTCTGTAACCGAGAAATATGAGGCCACACCTGCACAAACTGGTGGCCTCGTGGCATGAGAGTGATGCAGCACCAGCAGCTCTTGGGATTGGAAGCTTATGGGTATTAGTATGTGGTTGTTCTTTGTGCAAGAGAGGAGGAGGAAACTGATGGTCCCTGAGAAGTTACTGCAACCCACCCACCACATCTCTCTCTCGCTCTCTCTCACTCTCTCTCTGTGGCTCCATCCAGATTCCAAGCAAGAGCATCATGGATGAGTCCTTGTAGCCAGCCCCATGTAATACCTGCAGGTCTATGCCCTTTAACTCTAGTATTGCAGCCAATTGCTGTAACAGTTGATGTTCCTTTCCACTGTCACCTCTTGCTATGATCCTCAATGCCCCATGGTCACTTTAAGATGGTAAAATTTACATAGTTTTTTGTGGTGTTCATAGTGAGCAGAAAAATCTATCCAGACACAAACAAAAGAGAGTATCCAATCTGGATCTAAAACCTTGAATGTGTATGAGGTGCCACTGCTAATTCTAATAAAATGGTATGGTTATAAAAACAAGTATTTACTTAAAATTGCCATAGAAACATGACTGAAATTCTACTATAAGCACTTCCCACATCAGTAGAATATCTCAAGATTTGATAAGTATTTTCAAAAGTCTAGCAGATTTCATATTACCTAAAATCCATAGGAATTAAGTTTTTGTAGTGATATAACATCTTATATACATATTCAAGGTTTTGATGACCTTGAGGTATAGAAAAAAAGTACTTTTAAGTGATTTCATCTAAAAATTTAAGAAAAAAGAATTTTCAAAATTTATATGAGAGAGAATGTGTGAGATCGTAGATTTTTGTTGATTCAAGAGAGTGTATAATTCCCTTATATTTGATTAATGGTTTCAGAAAATTTCTTTTGATATGGAGATTTTTTTTCTTAAGGAAAACTATGTGAGATAGAACAACACTATATGCGTAGCCGCCATAACCATAAGGCAATCTCATCTTTGTCTCCATCACTTCCCCTTTCTCCGCTTTCATCTTCTTTTCCTGTTTCCCTTTCTGTAGCATTCTTAAGCCAATCCAAATATGAACTGAAGGAGAAAGCTTACACAAAGGAAGATGCTCTTCGCGAAGAATTAAGCTTCATGCAGCTTTCTTCTCCACAGTTGATGCCCCTCCTTACCACCTCCATTGCCTCTCTCTCTCCTTCCCAACCCACAAGCTTTGCTTCTTGGCTCTTCAATCCAACTCAGAACCACCATCTCTGTGTTCATGATGGAGGCAAGGAGATCAGAGGTTGAGTTTTTGACAGACGGTGCTTGTTTCACAAGAGGTATTGGCGTGTCTCAATCCGAAGACATGGTTGGATGCTGACATAGCCATGGAATTGGATTGAGCCGCGTCAATATCTCTCCTTCACTCCAAGCACTTCATCCAAGGTATGAATTCTAGTCTATCTTTGATCCCTCTTCACTCTCTGATGAAAGACTGCTTTGCATGTTGATGAACATGAAACTAAGAGAAATACGAAGGCTTCGATTTGCCATTACCATGCTTCTTCATAGACAAATGTATCTGATAAAGGACCATTTCCTAAGGTTCTCATGCATGATGGTAGGCAAAAGTAGATTCCTATACCAAGTTCCTCACAATAATTTGCTGCTAGCTGGGAGTTCCGGGGGAATCTTGTCCTTACGAAAGAGCAAGAGCACTGTTTTCTCTACCTTCTATTTTCTTTACATCTTACTGATGGAGTGATGAAGAGCTGAGCTACATCAGAGAAATACTAGACAGCATATCTCTTTGGGAAGGACATGGCATCTGCCTCATTTGGTTCCATAGCTATCCAATGGCTCAGCTTCCTAACTTTATACTGTCAGGAACCTTGAAGAGGCGCTAAATGATTGGGGCATGGTGATGCAGCAGCCTGCAAGAGTTTTGCCCAGACAAGTTGGAGTCAAATCAGTGGTCCTTGAACAAGGCTAAATGCTTTTTGCCATGTTAGATTCAAGAAAACTTTGATGCTTGTTAGACTGATTGCTCATGGTAAGTAGGTGAGATGTCTATGGTTCCAATTTGGGCCTAGTTGGATAGTGATTCAACTAACACAAGTTGTCATCACTGGTCATGTAGATGAGTGTTCTTGCACTATAGTCGATGATAAGGTGAAGGCTTAAGATGGATTGACAAGGAAATAGAATATGTGGAAGTTTTGGATCTACCAAACTGCAAGTATGTATAAGAGAGAGAGGTTGATTTACAGACATGAATAGCTGAGTTCAAACATCATAAACTTTAAGAAAAAGTTGCAAGCTAAGGTCCTACTCCACATTCATATCAGACTGAAGTGATGTCGGGAGAAGACATCTCCGAACTCTGTAAGATTGCGTTGAGGCATTCCTAATAAGGCACCTCTGATTTTTAAATTAATAAGAGGTTCCCAGAATTTAATCAAATGCTAAGTCCAAGTGAGAGCAAATGTTGTACTTGAGATCATAATTAAATACTCCTTTGACCTAAGATACAATCGAATCCTATGTACTAATTTTTGTAGAGCTAGATCGACCGTAATATCATCCAGAAGATGATAATATATCATTCTTCTGATGACAAAGGTGTCGGTCATATGACGACGGCGAAGTAACGATAATTTTCGATGCATCATTATATTCGTATCGGTCACCAAGAAAAAGTAATGAACACCATAAAATGTCATGGAACCTCCATATAATTAAAAAGCAATCTATCACTATATGTGGAATAAATTCATGGCAGTTCAATAACCAAGAAAGGATTTTGGACGCAGCACTTAGGGGGAAATGGAAGACAGAGAGTCTCAAGGAACTGTAGAATTGTTAGCACACTGTGGACATGTCGCAGGAGGAGGAATGCTTTCTGTCGCAGCGGTCCAGTGCAGTAAAACAACACAGCATGAGATCTTACGAAGACGATGTTAGCCACATGGCGAAGAACATAGGGTTGATCCTTGTTAGGTCTGGTGCTTCAGATGAAGCATATGAACATGATGAACAGAGGAGCACACGGAGCTCAGGAGTAAGAACTGTTGGGCTGATGGCCCATATTCAGCCCATGTGGGCTTTATCAGCCCACATCCCACATCCTCTCTTAACCTAACCTTAATTAAGATTAGGGGGTGTGGTGGCTGCGTTTTAGAGGCAGATTAAGGCTATAAAAAGGCAGCAACGAGGCAGATCTTTGAGGCCACGGGATTCCAAAGAGAAGAAGGAGATCAAGGCAGAAAAGGAAGAGAAAGAAAGGAAAGAAGACAAGGACAAT